CAAATTATCATGCAGTATTACAATATCTCACAGTAGTTATCTTTTAACTACTCAAATGTCCAATAGAACGTAATTCAAAACAGCTAAAGAACGCTAATCCGCGAATTCGCTACAATCAACACAGAGCAGTTTTCTAAACAACAACAAACTAAGCAACTACTACAAACTGAGATGTTTTCCTCCTTTTATAAGATTTTAAAATCACGCGCTAGAATTTTCCAGTACTTTCTCGAAATCAAAAAGAGATATTTATTTATTTAATGCACGCGCTCTTGTATTTTCAATTTTCCGGCTTAGCTTTCTTTTAATATTCGTCACGCGCTGCACTGCGCGAGAAATAAAACCATTTAATTTATAATTGAACTAACATTAGCTTTTTAAATACCAAATTCGTAACACTGCCCCCTTCCCAAGGACTGCACGTCCCGGGCAGTACAATCCCTGGACAGGAAGCTAAACTTACAACTGTGGCATAAATGCATTAATAAGCATTACATTACAATAATAAACAACATGAACAATAAATGCAATAATAAACAAATCAAATAAATCAAATACTAAATGCAAATCAAATACTAAATACAAATCAAATCAAATACACATTTAAAAACAAAAAGGACCATGGTCTTATACTATTTACAATTATTTACATTACGTACTACTATGGCCATAGTAATGAGCTAACCTGTCGTAATGAACGACTTTAGGTTTAGAGTTCGAAGACTTACGGATCCGAACCACGACGTCATTCGTGTTCAGCACTGTATATGGACCATCCGAAGGTGACTGTAATTTAGGACTGAGTCCTTTTCGTTCGAATCGGGTTCCACAACCACACCTTGTCTCCTTTGTTGGATCTATGTCCAGTAGCTCTCGTGTTGTATCTGGTCTTCTTCACTTTCTCCGTCGCCAAGTTCACTCGCTTTCGTGCGGAACGGTGCATCACTTCAAACGGGCCTGGACATCTTGGATGTGTTCCTCAGGCGATGAAGGCGCATCCGTAGGGCGATCAAACAGGCGGTCACAAGGCAGACGAAGGTCTCGACCGAAGAGCATCTGGGATGGAGAATAGCTGGTAGTCTTGGTGTTTCTTTTCGACCCTAGTATGATTTCGGCAGCTTTCTGAGCTCGATCTTTCGGACAAGGGTCGCATTTCCAGGCGAGGATCCCTTTTGAGGATGGATAGTCATGCCATCAGATGCTGAAAGCAGCTTATTGTTTTTGAAATCTAAGGAAAAATTGTATTTCCTTAAAAAGTCCAATCCGAGTATGCATGGATCTGTAATATCCGCCACATATGCCGTGTGATGGTAGGCGGCACTTCCAAACGTGATGTTTACGTTTAACTTCCCAGTTATGTCGATCTTGTCACCAGACGCAGTCTGAAGGGTAACACAGGATGGCGTCCAAATAAGTTTATCTTTAAACTGTTCAGCTAAACTAAATCTTTCCTAATGATGGTAACATTAGCTCCTGTGTCAATGATCATATTGCAAGGAACTCCATCGATATTCCCATTGATGGACAGTCCGTTATTGTTGCCACTCACTATAGAATCTTTAGCGCTTTAAAACAAGGTTTTTCATTATCTGGCAACCTCCGTTCCTTGATATGGTCATTAATTTGTTTCCTGCGTCGTTGCTGAGAAATGGTCTCAATTTTCGTACCCTGGGGTGTTCTGCAATTCTTTCGTACGTGGCCTTCAGCTCCACAGTTCCAGCACTTTGGTTTCTTGTCAGTCCTTTTCCTTCCCGTGGCATTTAATTGTCTGTTTAAATCGTATGCCTTATTTTCCGTGCTCTGGGGTGTTCTGCAGTTCCTTCGTAGGTGGCCTTCAACACCGCAATTCCAGCACTTTAGGGTCGGTTTCTTTTCACCACTATTCCGTCTTAAAGCATTCACTGGTCTTGTCAACTCATCCGTTTTATTATCCGTGCCCTGGGGTGTTCTGCAATGCCGTCGTAGGTGACCTTCAGAACCACATCTCCAACACCTTACAGCCACTTTGTTCTCACTGCTACTCCGTATCAAAGCATCGACTTGTCTGGATAAATCATCTAAACGAGCCATCAATTGGTCCCCTGGCTCGTGGACTCGCACAGCTCTGACTGGGTAGCGATCTCTAAGAGTTGCTTGCTGGGCTGCCTCCAATTTCATGGCGTACAACAGAGCGCTTTTTACATCCTTTACATCCTGCCATTCGCAGAGCTTTCTGTATTTCAGGGATCCCGGATGCCATCGATGAAATATTGCAGGGACAGGATTTCCCTTCTTTTCTGTCGGGCACTCCGAAAAGGCGTGATGGTGACAGCCTTTCAACATCCGTGGCGAGCTCCTGAAGTGTTTCGGTGGGCTTCTGTTGACGAGATTTTAATTGGAAGCCTGCTGTAGTCTTTTAAACATTTCTCGCCAAAGCGCAGCTCCAAGGCGCCGGATAGAGCTTCGAAATCTAAGCCTTTGGTTTTCGGGAAGCGTCTGCAGGATATCCGCTGCGTCTGCTCTCAGAGAAGCGGCGAGATGACAGGCCTTAGCTTGGGAATCCCATCCATTCGCATCCGCAACGATAGAAAATTGTGTTCTTATACACTTGCCAGGAGGTCTTCCCATCATATGTGGATAGCTTCAGAGATGGACGAGCAGGCATCGGTAAAATTTAAAACCATCACTAATTGTTTCCCTGCCGTCGCTACGAATTTCTTTAAAGTATCCACTTCTTTGGCAACTGCAGAAACCCTATCATCAATTTGTTGTTCGATTTGGTTTGGACGGCACAAAACTCTTCCTTCTATATGTTCTTTTACAGAAGAAACTCTTTCTTCTATTTCTTCTTTCACCGAAGAAACTCTTTCTTTCTTCAATTTGATCTTTTACGAAGAAACTTTTTTCTTCAATTTGTCCAACTTTATTTTCAACTGCGTCAATTCTGCCTTCCATAGCTTCAAATTTATTTTCTATTATGCAGGTAATTTCTCTTTTCATTTCTTCTTGACCAGCTTTGAACGGCTTTCATTTCGTCCTTAACGGATTCCTGGCCCAATTTCATTTCTTCTTTAAATGAGCAAAGGCTGATATTAAATGCCTTAATTGTTCTTCCATCGCTCTTGTTATTGGCATTCAAATCCCAAATCCCACTTCTGACACCAAAAATTGTTGCGTGCGTACGGGTTCGTTATGAAATGAATGCACAAGTCCGATGAAAAATGAACAAAAATTTATTATTATCACAACAAAAATGCTTAAATTTTCTCAAATTATCATGCAGTATTACAATATCTCACAGTAGTTATCTTTTAACTACTCAAATGTCCAATAGAACGTAATTCAAAACAGCTAAAGAACGCTAATCCGCGAATTCGCTACAATCAACAACAGCAGTTTTCTAAACAACAACAAACTAAGCAACTACTACAAACTGAGATGTTTTCCTCCTTTTATAAGATTTTAAAATCACGCGCTAGAATTTTCCAGTACTTTCTCGAAATCAAAAAGAGATATTTATTTATTTAATGCACGCGCTCTTGTATTTTCAATTTTCCGGCTTAGCTTTCTTTTAATATTCGTCACGCGCTGCACTGCGCGAGAAATAAAACCATTTAATTTATAATTGAACTAACATTACTTTTTAATAAATTCGTAACAACACGCCCCCAAGCGTATTCCCTATAAAATATGGAAGCTAAACTTGAATTTTTTAAGATAATTTCCTCTTTTAAAACGTGAAAAAATTCATAACTGACCAAGGATTTCAAATCAGCTCCTCAATGTTAATTTGATTTGATATATATTTATTTAGTATCTCCTTTTTTTATTAAACTTACTTGACGCCTTCTTCCAGAATTCGAAATTTAAGCTTCATCCAAATAAAATTTGCCCATTTTTTATGATTTACTTTTTAAATTTGTATTTTCAAATATTTCTTTTATAAACTTTTCGAATTTTTTTTTGTATTATAAAATTTTTAACATCTTCTTAAATTAGACGTGTTTCTGGGCACACCTGCAAAAAATTAGATGTTTTTTATTCAACCTTTTCTAAGATATACATGAATTTATATAATGGCGCAGTTTGAAATTTGGCATATTTGTTGTCAACGGTAATAACGCCAAATGTGGTTTACGCGCACTTTGTTAAAATTATTTGAAAGTATGAACGATGCTTTTTTTCCGCTCCTATGCAATGAAAAAAAGGAAAGGAAAATAGGTTGCCATAAATTAAGGAGTTCGCCAATTTATCTTGCCGCATTTTTTTTTTCAGTTTGCGTCAAGATAAATTTTTAAATTTCTCCATAAATTTCTTTCCAAATATTACAAAATTTAATATTTAGGCATAATTTGAATCGTAGAATCGAAATATAAAAAAAATGCATGCCATTTCAGAAAAAGTCCGATTCTGTGTCAAAATACCTATGTTAGAACAATGCGATATATAAATCTGATATATAAACGAAGTCGCGCTTTGGAGAAATGAAAAACGCAATTTGAGTTTCGTCAATCCGTCCAGTAGAACGGGAGATATAGAATTGTTCTTTTTTTTCTTTTCCGCAGTGTACATACAGTTATTTATATGTGTCAGTAAAAATATTTTTGGACGTATAAAAGCGGCCTAGCCGGTTGATGGAAAAGTTGAAAACAATACTGGAAATTTGACGAAAAGTTTCACTGTCATGCAACGCCGATGCCACAAACAAAGGCCTTCTAATCAAATATTTTAATAATATTAAATAAATAATAAGATAGTACTGATTCCATCCAGAAGGGGTCGACTGTGGGAGGCGGTTGTTGTGTGAGTGGGCTATAGGAGCCGGTAGGTCTGTAAAAGTGAATAAATTAATTAGTTAATAAAATTATTATATTTTGCATCAAAATGAAAAGTTTAAAGTGGGGTTTTACTCATTAATTGTAATAAACTCCACTGGTAATTATAATTAAGTTGCATTTAGAACTGTGAAATTGATTTATGTAACTGATATGTGTGTTTATCGTGACATAAAAACAGGGGTAAAAATGCTCATTTAACAAACATACCTTTATTCCAAATTTACATTTCTATACTTTCTTCTTCTTTTCTTTTTTTAGTATAAAAACAATAACTCACATACAAACATTTTATCTTCTTTGTGCACGATAGAAATACATTTTGTTTCCACAACTATTCAACAAGTATCACAATCTAATTTGTTCTTCTGGTGCATTACCATTCTTCGAGAATGAGTTCTGGTCGGTTCCTTCTCTGTTACAGTTGCTGTTGGAACCGGAGCAGTAACCTGGTTCGGAATTCGGCTTCTCAAAAAGAAACTTCGGGAGAGATTTCTTGCGGTGCTGCCTGACCAGTTTTAGGTGCTGGTCGATATACCGCTCCCCAGGAGCTAGGGCTGCAGCTCGTAGCAAGCAGGACTCCGCAGATTCCAGTTGGCCCATCTGGAAGAGGGCGGCGCACAAGTTGTGCATTGCTGGGATGTGGTTCGGATCTTGTTTTAAGATTAGCTCATAGCACTGAAAAGAGATCATTGAATTTTTATAGAATAAAATAACAATATTCTGCAACTGAATTTTTAAAAAGACTATTTAAATAAGATTAAAACTATCAAGGGTCACTTTCCTTATTATTTTTTTTTTTTTCAAAACATATGTCTTTCCTATTATAGTTCATTTTGTATTCAAAGATGCGTGTAAAGTTTTTATGAAGCTGAAAGGGAATGTGATTAACTATGAGGTTAATGAAAGTAGGTATAAAAATGTTTGACTGAAGTTAAGGTTGTTTTAATGATCGGTTTGAGATGTTAACTAGCTTTGTTTTTGAAATGCTTTTTTTAAACATTTTTCCTTTTTAATTTAATAGAGTATGTGATATATATAAAAATGTGAGGGAAAAAAACAATAGCCTTAGTTTGTCGTTAAATTTTGGGTTCAATTCCACTGATTTTGACGGCGATTCCATTGACTTAAAGGCCTCTGCTTCACTACTCCTGAAGAAAAAGGGACCATTGTTTGATCGCTCTCTATATCGATAGTAACTTATTCAAAAATCTACGCCTAACAAACGTTGCTTTTGTATCTACTTTTAATTTTACATAGGGATGCATCTCTTCCAGTTGCACACATAAAGTATTAAATAAAAAGTATAATTCTTTTAAATATATCTTAAATAAGAGACTCGAATTTTGTTTTTGACGTACGTATAATATTTATTCGAAAAATTGTATTATTAATCGAGAACTATGAATAATATTCCAACATTCTTCTTTACATTAAAATTTGGTATACTTTTCAGACATCGAAGATTATGTTAGTGTTTTTAAGAAATGTTACGTACACGATTTAAAGCAAGCAAATTAATGAGTAAAATCAACAAACAAAAAAATCAAAATCGAAAATATTTCTTCTGTTTAGACCTTACAATATTTGTATGTTATATTAATTTAAGGAATTTAATTCAACATGTGTAAAATAACTGTATAAAAATAATTTGCCTTAGACATTAGAGAAAACAAATAATGCATAATAAATGGTATTTAATTGAACTGTGCAAAAATTATTAAATGAATCTGCGTACGAGTATTTTCATTCGCAGTTCACTTAGACTGACTGTAGACCTAGCATTTATATCAGCTGATTTTCTTATTTTTAACTTTTTAATAACATAAAAAATTAGTAATTTCATTAGTTTGTATATAGCATCTTTATGATACTAAATGTCAGTTAAGAAAAGCATTAACAATTTGTTTTCACGTTATTAACAATTTTTCAGTTTTTTAACTCTTTTAATTTCTTTTTATATAAGCTATAATCTGTTGTAATAACAAATATGCTTCTGTTTACAATATCATGCTAATAAAATATTTTCTATAAGTTCACTATAGCTATAATAAATCATAATTAAGGTCGAACATTGACTAACCGAAACTGAACAAAAACATTCGAATAATCGAAAATTTTAGTTAACTAACCTTCGGCAAACTGCGCTTAAAATGTTCTAACATTCCACTCAGGTATGCACGTAAATATGTTTAACAAACTGACCTTAGAAATTATCGTCAACATAAAAGTTTTAGTTCGGTTATACGAATATATCTAAGCATAGTTAAAAAGATAAAGTTAAAATTCTTTCATACAAAAAGTAAAACATTTTGATCATATCTTCAAATTAGATCATATCTTCAACTACAGCGATGCTGATGGTAAGTTATATTGCCGTGAATTAAATAAAAAATTAACCATTTTAGAGAACGTAGAATTAGGTATATGCATCAAAGTGAGAATGAAAGTTCATAAAATGCTGTATCTGCATTTAGTAAAATTTTGTTTTCTTTCAAAATATGCGTGGAATAAATTATATAAAGAAAAGAATAATTTCGAAAACGTAATCTTTTGATTTCTTAAAGGAAATATATCAAACCATAATATAAAAAAGTACAATACCAAATTCTGATCGGTTTTGCATAAAAATGTGAGCTGCATTTTCAAAAGAAATTGCGAGTTTATTCACGTATATTTTCAAATATTTATTGCTTACGAGGGTACCTAAATGATCTAGAAAACTACAAGAATGGAATTACATCGCGTTCTAAAGATTCTACAAAGAAGAACTGGAGTTGAATTTACCCATTTTGGATATTCTATCTGGCAACGGTTTATCATAAAAGAAGCGCGAAGAAAATAATTCGAAAAGTTAAACTTATCGAATCTTTTAACTGATTGAAATGCAGAATTTCAAGAAAAGTTACTATTAATATTTAATAAATTTAGTTCGCAGAAAACATCCATTTGGACTCATCGAAAGTTTTAAATTACAGAAATTAAAATGAATAATTTAATGATAAAATTTCTATTGGTATAAAACAATTCTATAATGAAAAAATTTAAAATTACCAAATTAATGAATTCTAGAATGATTTAAAATAATGAATTCTATAATGATAAAATTTCTATTGTGCACTTTGCTTAGATTGAAGGTATTTTTAAAATGTCATTAGCATTAATTATCTATATTTATCTCGTGTCGAATAGTCTGAAGCACACAGAAATCTTAGCTCAAGATTTCATATTTACAGTGATTCTCTTTCTTGAATATTTCGAGTGCAGAAAAGTTAATCGTTCAGTTGATTTTGACTGTTATTTTTCTCGAAACCAGAACATTCTCTGTGTTTAAATGCATGAACATTGCGGAATTTATGGTAATGAAACTGCCGACTTTTTAGCTAAAGACTCAGGCTTTGAATATCTGAATACTATGTAAGGATCTTAAGTTTTACTAACGTTTATTTTATTTTAAATCTTTACTATCACTTCTTATTTTCTACTTCCGGCCAGAATTATAAGCGTGAAGGAGTTTATGCAAAGTTGTCTGGCGAACGCCAAGTATTTAAGTGTGGCCTTTTTGCCAAGCAGAAGAGAGGAAGCCGTGAGTTCGAAGCAGGCCGCTTACCTTAGAAGTTACGCAGTTGCTACTTTGCCTTCCAGGCCAGAGGTTTTAATCCTCTTGATAAATTAAACGTATTGTAGTGTTCACAGTCTCTGTGCTACATACGCTTCCTGTTATTATAAGGCCAATCTTATTATTCTAAAGTTAAATTAGAGTTTAGTTTTATTTTGATATCTTTTAAGTTAGACCCCGAGTGGAGGGTCATTGTATTCCGAAGTACGGAAGTCATTGTATATAAGAAAAAAATAAGGGTTTTGTATACCCTTCGTCTGTATCCTGTCTACTTACTACAATTAGTGAACATAGCTTTAGTAAGCTCTCTGTTTCTAGTCAGGTCATTGTATGTTTCCGAAGAAGGTTAGAAGAAACATTGAACCTGATAGTGGCGCGCCCGAACGAAGAATAACCATGGCCGAGTTTCAAGAAGAACCTGTGCTGCCTGCAGAAACAGCTCAGAATCCAGAAATGCCAGCTGCTGCCGCCCTGGAAGGATTTGGGTACATTGTCCAGACCATGCGCGCTTCGATGAAACCAGAAGCAACATTTAATGGAAACTCACAGGTAACCAGTTTTTTGGAAAAATTGGATGACCACTTCATGCTCTACCCCGTGCACGAGTTTCAAAAAGTTACCTTAGCTACCAGCGCTTTGAGGGGCCAAGCGCTTAACTGGTTCAAATGTATCGGCAGAAGTCTCTTGGGTCAAGCAGGAAGTCCCACCTATACCTACGAAAATTTCAAGACTGCCCTACTAAAAGCCTTCCCTGTTGTAAGGGATCGTGCGAAATTAGAAACAGAACTTTTCAGTATATATCAACAAAGAATGGAAAACCTCTCGAGCTTTATTTTAAGAAAAATTCACGTTTTTCAAGCTCTTGTATGGAAACCGTCCGGATCCTGAAATAATTCAAGTGATTTTGCCGAGGTTACTACCCCAAGTGCAAGACTTTATTGAATTGAGAAATCCGACTACACTGGAAAAAGTTATTTGAGCTAGCAATCCAGTTTGAAAGTAGAAGAACGGCGGACGTCGAAAGAAGACGCCAATATCAACAGCGAAACCAATTTGGTACGCCAAGACTACAGCAAACTCAAGCACATGGCTACGGAAGAAAAGCGAATCAGTGGGCAAGGAAACCCGAGCATTCAAAAACAGCCGGCGAACGTCGACAGTTCAATAGCAACCCAGGAAAAAAGTCTCAAGGCCAGTGGAGAAAGAAGGAAAGCACCGAAAGGAAAATAATTTAAACTAAAACGGATTTCTGCTGACGAGAGGGTGCGGAAATCCGAAGGCCACGAAAACCCCTCTTCCTACAAGTTAAATACAGTAATGGTGAAAAATTTAACTCTTCCGAAGATTGAAGTCTTGGTAAATAATATCCCGGCCACCGCACTCCTGGATACCGGCGCGCAGTGTTCCTGTGTGGCAGAAGTCTTTTTTAGAAAGTATTTTCGCAAATACCGCATATATAATGCGGATAATACAACAGTATTAGCGGCGCAAGGAAAACAATGTAAGTGCGTAGGTAAAGTACCTTTGTACATCCGTATCAAGGACGAACAAGTAAAGGTGATGTTTTTTATAGTAAAGAATTTGCAAGCACATTTAATACTAGGAATAGACTTTCTTTCAGACGCACAAGCTACACTGGATTTTAATGAAGCGTCTCTTAAGCTGACGATGAAACCAGTGCGTGTAGAAAAGGTTGAACCGCCAAGGTTAAATCTTGACCACCTGCCTAATGACGAGCAAGATAGAATCCGACAAGTGGTAAGTGAATTTGCTTCCTTATTTAGTGATATTCCAGGATTTACCCAGGTTACTAACCATAGTATTGACACCGGAGATGCATTTGCCGGTTCGTCAAAAACCATACCGGTATGATAAGAATAAGGAAAAAATTATAGAATGGCATATTACCGATATGCTACGTAAAAAGATCATAACGCCTATCTCAAGTAGTTATGCTAGTCCGGTGGTTTTTATGTAAGAAAAATAATGATTATCCTTTGGAGCATCCAAAAAGGTGGAGATTCGCTATTGATTACCGTAAATTAAATTCCATAACGAA